GAATTATGGCACCAATAGCACATTCTTTAAAGTGAAAGAAGGAGTGATATTAACAATACCAGAGTATGAACCAGTACCAGAAGATCCATTTGGAAAATAAAAAAGTATAAGCTTAATCTTGTGAATTGATTAAAATGTTGGACGAAGGTATGTAATGTGGTCTGTTGCTCCGGTATCTAAGAACCATTGATTGAAGTTTTTACCTACAGAACTCGAAAGTGTTGTATCTGTGGCAATTGTTTGTGCCATATTAGTTAGGGGTGTTCATCAACCGATCCAAACCGATTCAAACCGCGGTGACCGAACCGAAAAACCGATAACCGAAAAATCGAAAACCGATTAAAAACCACAAATTTTAATTGGATTGGATCGGTTTTTGGATGAGTTGATGAAAACCGATCCAATATATTAATTTCCCTTTACCTACTTGGGTATTTTCCTAATCATAGCCTAAAAATTTCTAAACCCAAGACCCATTAACCCATCAACTAAACCCAAGAAAAAATCTAGCCATATCTAATCAACAAAATTTTATATTTGTAGAGCTTCATATCTCATTGCCAAAATTAAAAAAATTATATTATAGTTTACTAATGCTTTTGTATTTCAATTTTTTTTTTTTACAAAGGCAATATATACAAAAGATGTTATTTGCACAATAATCATGAAATAAATTTTAGGATTTTAAAAAAACCGAAAACCGATCCAATCCAAACTGAAAAAAATTGGATTGGATCAGATCGGATTTGAAAAAAAATCAAAACCGAATGGATGATTAAATGATCAAACCGAAGGGATTGGATCGAATGATTTTTGTTTTCAAAACCGATCCAATCCAGACCGCGAACACCCCTAATATTAGTGGCATGTGTAGGCTTAGACTATTGCATGTAATTCATAAACTCCTCATATTTTTCTTTTGAAACTGATATATGTGAATCCAAACGACTCCTGCAATCAACAAAAGAAGGAGTTATGAAACTCAAGTGCAATGTGGGATTGATCAATGAAAAACAACTGCATCGGGATCGGTGGACGCAATGCCTTGTAATCGTCCCTAGTGAGACCTATCGTATTTACTCAATCAATTAGTGGACATAATGCCTTGTAACCGTCGACCTTGCTTGTAAACCAAGACAGTAGGAAACAACCAATTGTTTTTCGAATGTGGTTTGTCCTCTATTTGTGTCCATTTTGGCTGTGGACACCCCCTGGTTTTGCGAGTACGTTAGATAATACAGCCTTGTAATATTCTCATAGATGCGATACTCACTTCACACCCACATAGATGATTTTTGGCAGTGCATCCCAACATACATCGTCTGAACATATCAGAATCAGAAATTATTAAAAGCCTATTTGCTTACCCTTTACTTATGCACTATCATGTCTAGGAATCAATGTGAGTTTGAAAAAAATTCCACAGTGCTTATCCATTAATTATTACTTGGTTTTCTCTTTGAACCCAGTTCATGGAATCTCCACTCTTTTAGATAGAGTGCCCACAATGATTAACATTTAATGGCCTTAAATCCATTCATTTCGACAAACTATACATCAACTTTCTAGTTACACCTTTTGGTTAGCGGATCCCTAATAATACCACTAGAGAGTACTTGCCTCACGATATTATGTCTCCAATATATATACTTACCATTATATATAATAATCCTTGCCCTTCTTATCACTTCCTGACTATCACAATATATGCACATGGCAGGCACTGTCTTCAGCCAGTTCAGGATACCCACAAGGAAATTACACAGCCACTCGGCTACCAACTTTACCCGAGACAATAAGTTTTTGCTTCCATGGTCGACCTTGTAATACATGCTTGCTTGAAAAATTTTCAAGATGCAACACCCCCACCAAGTGTGTACACATACCTACTTGTGGACTAGATGTCACTAGAGTCGATGATTCAATTTGCATCAAAATCGATATGCACCATTATTATGTGTATATCCAATGAACACACAGTCCACTATCTTTGATCCAATCATAACCTTTTTTGATTTCAGAATCGCGACATTTGCCAAATACTCCCACACTTAAAAGTAAAAAAGGTAGGCTCCCTACCTTTCCATATTTTATAGGGGATTTTCTTAATTTTCTTGTTGGGTACTCTATTAATTATATAATTTATCATGAAAATGACCTTTCCCCACAAATTTTGTGGTAAACTAGACATCAACAACATAAAATTCATCATTTCTTTCAAAGTCCAGCTCTTTCTCTTAGCAATCCCATTAGATTGTGGAGCATAAGGAGCCATCATTTGGTGTGTAATACCAAACTTTAAACAAAACTCGTATAAGATTGATCAATCGCAGATTGTACCTAGCCTGAGATGCAAATGCTCAAAGAGGATAAACTTCATATTCATGTGGGGGATTGTTGTCTAAATGAGTTATAAATAAGAAGTTGGAAGAGTCGCACCTTTTCATTTTTTTTCTCGAACAGCTGTGCCTCTTCGTTTTCGAACAATCGTGCCTCTTTGTTTTCGAACAATTGCGTCGCTTCGATTATGAAAAGTCGTGCCTCTTCTCCTGTGACCGTTCATCTCCTATATATACCAAATGTCCAGTGAGTTCAAATAACCAATTTTCTGACTCCTTACCAAAACTCTGACAAAACGGTTTTTGAAATCATTTTGCATTCATCTTGCATTTCATTCTAGTGCGATTGGTCTGTCATATATTGAGTTTGATAAGGCTATTCAATATGGAAGTGCCACCAAAAGAATAGAGGTAATCTATTTTATTTTGGGTCCATAAATCTTGGACAACTTAGAGAGGACAAAATTGTCATAAGAATTTTAATGGTGCTAGTGGAAAAATATGTGTTGTTGGTTTGGGTGATATAAGTGAAAACACAAAAATTACATGCAATAACAGAAAGTCAAAGTGCAATGTGCAAAGCTTGAAAATGGCAGAAAATCAAATCCGAGCCCATTATTGAATATTGTGTCCTTAAGGAAATTTTGCCCTCTCAATGTTGCCTAAGGTTCATGGACAAATGCCTCCCATGATAGAATGATTTACTTTTGTTTCCACGGTGGCACAACCAGAAGAAACAACGCTGGCTGACACAACGAACGCTGATCAGTCACAGAGAATAAATGCAAAAGATTTCAAAACATTTTTTTTATAGAGTTTCGGTATGAGAGAGAAATAAGAAAAGTCTCTAATTTTTTTGATTTCCTTCCATATTTATAAATCATAATTGGTCACAATAAATGGTGCCTATTAATGATGAAGAGTCGTGTCTGTTCAGCAGTGAAAAACTATGTCAGTTCAAAAGTCAAAAGACACGTCTTTTCACACCTAACTTTTTATTCATAACATTTGAATTCTATAAGAATTCCAACATATCCGTCCAATAAAAATATGACACCTATACTGACATATTTTATGAGGAGAAAAAAAAACTATGTCTGTAGGCTAATATTTTCAATCTGTAATTTCATTTTGAATGAAAGTATATACACTGCTCACTGCAGGTAGTATTAAAAATGTTCTCCATAAGTCCTCAAGCCAAATAAGTCTTCAATGCCAATAGGAAGTAACCAATAGTCATTGGCCACATCAAAAAAGACACGAAAACGTGGCATGATGCAAGTGGGCAGAATTTTTCGACCCCAATCCATAAATTGTTCCAGCCTCGTACAACCTATGTAGCACCGATACGACACGCGACACGTGACACGACATGACACGACACTCCGACACGTCAATCTTAAAAAATTATGAATTTCAACACGTTAGGACACGTTTTAATATTAAATAATATTTTTAATTTATATAGTGTATATTTCATTTAATATTTAATAATTTAACAAAAAAATAAAACTAAATTAATAATACCCATCAACACGTTATAAAGATGAAAGCTTTAATAAAAAAATAAGAACTGGGATGAGAGAGAGATATAATATCAGATAGAGAGATCAAATCATATTAGAGAGAGATCAGAGACAAGGAAATATAACAAAAGCGTGATAGGATTTGACAACAATGATGCTGAGATGATCTCTTATCTACTTAAGGGGAAAAAGACAAAAAAATAAAATTGATATGATCAGGTGGAAGCTTTATTAATATATATATTTTTTAAAAAAATTAAAAAAAATTACGAAAATGTCATTTGACCGTGTCGGACACCGTCAAATTCGCGTGTCGAAATGGTCAACGTGTCGGAAAAAGTTGACCGCGTATCTGACACCCGTTTCGGAACGTGTTGCAGTGTCACAGCGAGTATCGGACACGACTCTCCTTATTTTTAAGTGTCCGTGCTTCTTTGGTGGAACCGCAAAACTAAAACATAGCATATTCGAAAGTGCTTTAACGTTACTTCGAACGAACCCGGGAAATAAAAGCAAAACACTCGCAACAGTAACACTCAACGTGACGCAGCTCACATGTTAAATGGGTAATAAGATGCAGACAGAGCCAAATAGTCGACTATTTAGCTTGTTCAATCATTCCTGTTCCACGAGGCATCCAAACCTTATCACTATTCTTATTTTTTTAAAGCTTTGGAATCTCATCGAAAACCGAAACTGACAATTAATTGACTTTGTCATACATATATAAAAATCATTAATATATTTTAGTTGGATTAATTCTTTAAATAATAATAGAGTCTCCGGTCTCTATATCTTATGTGGATTGATTCTTTAAATGGTATCACTGGCTTGACTCTTCATGTCCCGAGTTTAATTCTCGCAGCTCTTAATTTTTTTTTTGAAATTTCTTAGTACAAATAAACTGGTCAAATACATTATCCACCTCTCAGTGTGTAACTTTTTGGGTTGAATTAATTCTATTTTTTTTATTTTTCGATTCACCTAACGCTCCTATACACGACAAGCGAAACCGATAATGATGTTACCGCGTGCTCACTTCCCTAGTACAAGTAATACTTTAATGTGTTTTTTTCTTCTAGTTCTTCGCACTTACATTAAATGATTCTTGCTTGGTCATAGTCACTTCAATTCAATGGAGATTGGTGTGTGTCTATGGGTTTTACTCTTGTTGGCGTGTCTTCTCTCCTCGGAGTCTAAGTACATAAGGTACAACACTACGTCAAGCATTGATCCTAGGAAGCTCAATGTTCACTTGGTCCCTCACACTCACGACGATGTTGGATGGTTGAAGACCATTGATCAGTACTACGTCGGTTCCAACAACTCCATTCAGGTCATTCACTCACACATGTTCTTTCTCTCTGTGGGTGCATCTCAATTCAATTAAAGTTTTTGATCTCGTGGTCTCATCTTGGTTTCACTGTTGGTGAAGTGCAGGGAGCGTGCGTTCAAAACGTGCTAGATTCCTTGGTGCCTGCATTGTTAGCAGACAAGAATCGCAAGTTCATATATGTTGAACAGGCAAGGCTATGATTGAAGCATTCAACTATTTCATTACTCCCCAATTTTCATTGGGTAAAAATAATAATATAAAATTATTCATATATCTTAATGCTTAAGCTTTTTGGAGAATTGGTTCAAATTCATATTAATTAAGAAAAAAAGAAAAGAATGGTGGAAGAACAAGCAAAGAAATTGAAGTAAAAAATTGAGAGATGTTCTTGACTTATTTTGCAGGCATTTTTCCAACGTTGGTGGAGAGAACAGAGTGAGGCTGTCAAGAACACAGTCAAGCAGCTGGTCAACTCTGGTCAACTGGAGTTCATGTATTTATCCATCTGGTTTTCCTTCAGACTAAGGGTGTGTTTGGTTGAGTAGGTGGAAAGTGGAGATGTCAAAAGATTTGTAACTTATCAACTTTTCCACCTACTCAACGAAGCAGAAAGTTGACCATTATTGTGTGCTTTAAATTAGTGTAATGGCATTCAGTTACAGTGACATTTAGTCAACTTTGTAATCTCAAACCTGCATTAATTAATTCTTAAGATTTCCGATTGCAGCAATGGTGGTATGTGTATGCACGATGAGGCTGCTACACATTACATTGACATGATTGATCAGACAACCCTTGGACATCAATTTCTGAAAGAAGAATTTGGTGTAACTCCGAGAATAGGATGGCAAATTGATCCATTTGGACATTCTGCAGTGCAGGCTTACTTGTTGGGAGCAGAGGTACCGTTTTGCTTATGTATATACAAAATATCAATTTGATGATGGAATAAGAAATGATCGCGAAGTTGATTTACCAACAGAATCTCTTCTTCTTCTTCTTCTTCTTCTCCCCCCCTCTTTCTGTATAGCATTGCTACTTGTTTCTTAAACATAACCCTTGTTGGTATAGGTTGGATTTGACTCTCTATTCTTTGCACGGATTGACTACCAAGACAGAGCTAAGAGGAAAGATGAAAAAACTCTTGAAGTTGTGTGGCAAGGCTCTAAGAGCCTTGGTTCATCTGCACAAGTGAGTAATCCAAAGTGTTTTATGTTTATATTGATGCTGCCCCAAAAAAAATAAGTAACAACTTTTTCTCGTTTCCTCCTCCCCAGTATGCTTTTACTTGCGGATCCTTAAAATTGTTCATTGATGTAGATATTTTCTGGTGCGTTCCCTGAGAATTATGAACCTCCCAGTAATTTCTACTATGAAGTAAATGATGATTCTCCGATTGTCCAGGTAAAATCCGAGTCAAATATTGTTGTAGGGCCATTCTGCTTTTGTTTGAAAGCATGTGTTAAGTAATTATGTATTTTAACCTGAAGGATGATGTCAATTTGTTTGACTACAATGTCCCTGAACGAGTAAATGAGTTTGTCTCAGCCGCAATATCACAGGTATGAAACTTACCGTAAAATGGGTGGTTGGTTCTATACTTCTATATACTGCAATTTGCTTTATTTAAAATGCTCTTTTAAAATAAACATACTAGGATTTTTAAATAATTTTACCATATTGAATTGATGTGTCTGAGGTTATGTGCGTCTTTGCTGCCTGTAAGTTTTTTTTTTTTTTTTTTTTTTGTAGCGATGCCCGTAAATTATTGATGTTAAGGTCTTGGTAGCCAATTTTTCCTTTGTTGTCCGAGTAAAAACGAAAACAGAAATACTCCAAATGAAATACTTCATACTTTTTATCCATATTTAGTGTCATTCAAATGATTTAAAGCTTTATCAGTTGCACTTAAAAATGATTTGAGTTAACAACTCCACTGGCTATCCTGTTTCAGGCCAATATTACGCGCACAAATCATATAATGTGGACAATGGGGACAGATTTCAAGTACCAATATGCACATACCTGGTTTCGGCAACTGGACAAGTTTATTCACTACGTCAATCAAGTGACTCATCTTCAACTCTTTGCTTAATTCACAAGTCTCTTTACTTAATTATTTAGCTATATCATATAAAGGACATTTTATTTGAAGGCTGCCTAATTTTCCATAATCCATAAGCTCATTTGAATTTAAATTAAATTCAGCTTGTTAAGTAATTGAGTGGTTTAGCATACTAATGGGACATCTGGCTAATGCTTATTTAGGATGGCCGGGTTCAAGCACTATATTCAACCCCATCAATATATACTGATGCAAAACATGCTGCAAATGAGGCCTGGCCAATCAAGACTGATGACTTCTTTCCGTGAGTTCCAAATGCAAAACATGCGTTATATGAGCTACCAACTCAAAATCATGTCATGTTCAAGAAGAAGCTGCAAATTGTAGCTTATGCCTGCAACGTGATTTTGAGAATAACATTTGGGTGGCTGCACTGCCTACCCAAAACAATAACTTCACGTTTAGCTGCATAATAGCATTTTTTCATATTCTTCTAACTTGTTTCATATTTGGACAATGCATTTGTCAGGTATGCTGATCGAGTAAATGCCTATTGGACGGGGTATTTTACAAGTAGGCCAGCTCTCAAAGGTTATGTCAGATTGATGAGTGGCTACTACTTGGTAAGGCTTCTAAGTGTTGTTAATTGAACTAATGAAGTATTTGGTTTTTGTTAGATTTGAGCTACTCTGAGAGGATTAAGGGGTATTCTGATCTCCTCTTTTTATCTGAAAGCTGTGATTAAGAGCATTGTAATTGATTCAACCTTGCATTCCACTGGAATATTTTGGAATGTTATCAGAATTCCACAACTTGCCTCTTATTGTCCTTCAATCTTGAAACAGGCAGCAAGGCAGTTGGAGTATTTTAAAGGGAAGAGTGCCTTAGGTCCTAAAACTGACTATTTGGCTGATGCTTTGGCTGTTGCTCAACACCATGATGCGGTATCTGGTACCGAAAAGCAGCATGTGGCTAATGATTATGCAAAACGACTTTCAATAGGTTACACAGAGGTGATACTTATCTATATATGTTCTGTTTGAACATTATTGTCTTAAATATAACCTCAAAAATGTCTTATTCAGGCTGAGAAAGTTGTTGCAATATCACTTGCTTGCTTGACTGAGGCAACAACCAAAACTGGTTGTAAGAGTCCACAGATTAAATTTCAACAGGCAAGTAGCGGTGTTCCCTTGTTACACAAATGTGAACTGTTCTATTCTACTAGCCTACAATCTGTTCATTACTAGTCTTCAATTAACAGCTTAAGGTATATGGCTAATCTTTTTAAGAAGACTATATTTTATTACAAAATTTAATTTGCAGGACACATTACATTCTAGATAAATTACCCAGAAATAATCTACTAAAAAAAATAAAATAAAAAATTACCCAGTAATATGTTTACCCCAAAATTCATACCATTTTCCTTTCCTTTCCTTTTTCTTTTGTATGACAAAGAAGCTGATGAACTTAAGCATGTTCATACTGTGACACTCGTCACTTTTAATAAAGATAATCCAAAAATTAAATGCGGGTACATCCTATGCCTTTCTTCAAAAATTTAATTACATACATTTCATGCATTAGGATATCCTTATTCCTTTTCAACATTTTCTTTTATGAACTTATCAACAAAGTTATTATTTAAGAAAATGGAAAGTCTATGGCTTTTGAGAAAGAGAGAGTAGAAGGATTTAAAGGTCTTTCATGCATGCTTCACTGAAGCAGAAGCATTAAATAGATTAAAGCAGTACTTGTTATGCAGTATATCTACGGAAACAAAATTATGTAAGAAATCTGAGGCAGTTTCATGTTGGTTTTTCTAATTTCCTTATTGATATTCATACTTTGTGCACCAAGGGAAATTATTAAGGCAGTAAAACTAAATCAAGAATTTACAATTCATAACCATCACAAAACTTATTATGCAACTTCTACAAGTAGTTCCTAGCCAATTATCCACTCAGGCCCAGATCAAATCAGTAGACGAAGTGAAAAGCTGTATTCCTTTTGAAACAATGGAAAAAAATTAGAACTTTTTTGAGAAGCGAAGTTCTGAAGACTTCATGCTAAGATTGAGTTATTGGTTGTGCCGTTTCATTTTGTCCATTATTTCCGTTTACATCCCTTTTATTTCTTCCATCCTGTCATTACAGTGTCCACTTCTGAACATAAGTTACTGTCCCGCATCAGAAGTTGACTTCTCAGATGGGAAAGACCTGGTGAGGAGTTATAACATCCTTTTTGTTGCTTATTAGAATGCAAGATTTTTATCTATTAATATTTTCCTGATATATTTGCTTCCTGTAGGTTGTTGTCGTTTACAATCCTCTTGGATGGAAAAGAGAGGATGTTATAAGGATTCCTGTGAGTTTCTTCCTTCAATCACCCTTCAGTATCTCCTTTCTTCTTATACATTCTGGTTAAATTATAAACATTCTATCTACATGCACAAGCATTTATGTAATAATTTGCCTTCAAGGCAATCATTTTGATGCATTTTTTTGTGTGCTGTGGAATGCCCTCATGTATCAGCATGAATAAATGATATTCAAGGACCAAACACTGCCATCCTCAAATACTGTTTTTGCTTAACATAACATGTCAATCCAATTTGTCATAGGCTGTCAACAAAAATGTTGTTGTTCTGGATTCCAGTGGAAAAGAAATCCAATCCCAGCTGCTGCCAATACTTGATGCTTTTCTTGGTTTAAGAAACTACCACACTGCTGCATACCTAGGAGTGTCTCCAACTGTGACCCCTAAATATTGGCTTGCTTTTTCAGCAACTGTTCCCCCACTTGGTTTTAGCACTTACTATGTATCCAAAGCCAAACAAGCAGGTTAGTTCTGATCAGTGATTCCTTTCATGAGAGTCGTGTTATTAGTTTATCACTCATGCAAATACAAAACAAAACTACATTTTCTGTGTGATAATAAAGTTCGGTTTTTCCTAAAACAAAAGGTTTGCAATTGCAGCTACCATTTCAGATACAGCATCAGGGAGTCAGAGTGGTACAATTGAAGTAGGCTTAGGAAACTTAAAACTAATTTATTCTGAGAAGGAAGGGAAACTTACTCAATATATCAATAGCAGAAGCAAGGTATGTGATATGAATGGCACATTACTATTTATCCCAATCTAGAGCTAAAATCTAAACCCTTTTAAGTTAATGCTGGTAAAGATATATGCTATAAGGTTTATGTGATATGTGTTCTAAATTTCTCTTCACAATGAAAGGTCAAAGAATCTCTAGAGCAGGGATACAAATTTTACGCAGGGTATGGAAATGATGAAACTGCTCAGGTGATAACGATTTTTCTATCCTTTGAATTTTTATTAGTTTTTCTTTCCCTACGATACTTCCTTTAATTATCAGGAAAATAGATGGTTTGATTATGGTTACTTTTTCCAAGCTATTGATTTAAATGTTCTAAATTGTTAAAGGCGTCTGGAGCATATATTTTTCGCCCCAATGGTTCATCATCTCCCATCAAAACCTACGGGAAGGTGAAGTTGTATATCAAAACACTTCCTTAAATTACCAATATTCAGTGGTAAGAGATTAATGATTTTTTATTTAAAAAAATACAGTCTCCTCTCACAGTTTTGCGGGGACCAATTGTGCATGAAGTGCATCAGGAGATCAATTCATGGATATATCAGGTACTATGTAACAATTTTTTTTTGTTAATATATTTTGGGTTCCTACATTTATTATCAATTTGGTCCTTATATAAAAGATTTCTCAATTAAAATACATGTACAATTATTTTTAGCATCACCTCCACATTCTACTATTGTTAAATGACCATATGTTGGAATTATAACATAATGAAGGATAAGACAATTATATAAAGACGAAAAACATAAATTTAAAAATATTTTTGAACCCTATACTGGCTGTACGTCAATAATATTTTTACTTTAGTCCTTAATTTTTCACAATACCTCATGCTAATATCAAGATATTATAATGGCAACAGAACACAACTAACAAGTTGTAGTATAGAAACTAAATTCCAAACTGTTTTCTTATAAAGACCGAATTAAAAATGAGTCTCTTCTGGTTTTAATTTTTTAGGAGAAATTTTTTTCATTCTATAGACATATATTGTATGAGGTCCACATTTATTAAAAAAAAAAAATACTACAGGAAAATCAAAAAGTCGCTGATAGGAGAAAACAATTCTCATACAACATGAGAAAATATTTTTTCCTTCTTTTAAGTACTAAAACATATTTTAAACTTTTTTTCCTTATATATGGGTGGCATAATTTGTAAACATCACAGGAAACAGTAACAGCTTCCATATTTAGAACATAGACGATATAAATACTTAGACTTTACAACTTTCTTGATTCTTTCAAACATCCATGATCCATGGTTATAACATGCTTGCACAAGTAAGTGAGAGGCCGAGAAATAGCATGAATAATAGTTAAGAAAACGAATAAAACTTCTGGAATCTGTTAAGGTACGCAGTAGGCTTATTCTTCAGCGTCCCTTATCAAAAGCTCCATATAGTTCTCTCTCTTTCTGTGTGTGTGTGTGTGTGTGTGTGTGTGTGTGTGTGTGTGTGTATATATATATGTGTGTGTGTGTGTGAATCCATATGGCTCAATATTTGACCATGGCTTAATTGAACAGACCACCAGACTGTACAAAGGGAAAGAACATGCTGAAGTTGAGTTTGTTGTAAGTCCTTTTGTTTTCTTTTCTTTTTGATTTTCTCCAAGTTTTTCTAATGCGGGTACTTAAAACTTTGTTCTCTAAGAGCTAATAATCATGATCAAGCTCTTGACATCAGGTTGGACCTATACCCATTGATAATGGAGTTGGCAAAGAAATTGCAACTGAGATTAAAACAAATCTTGAAAGCAACAAAACCTTCTATACTGATTCCAATGGACGTGATTTCATTGAACGGGTACGTCAAACATGTTGAGCAGTTAATTTCTAGTTACCATTTCCATATAAATGCCTAAACTAATGAGTTTTTGTAATAATACATACCTTTACAGGTTCGAGACTATAGAAAAGACTGGAACTTGGAAGTAAATCAACCGGTTGCAGGAAATTATTACCCTGTATGTTTTGCTGAACCAAGTGTGTTACAAGATGCTACATTTATAAAAATGAAGACACGGTCCTTGAACTTGTCAATTAATGAAATATAGTTTTTTGTTTTCAGATCAATCTTGGGATTTACCTGAAAGATAGAAGCAAAGAGTTCTCTGTATTGGTAGATAGATCTGTGGGGGGCTCTAGCATCATAGATGGGCAAATGGAGCTAATGGTTCATAGGTTTGTTATGTTGTTCAACTGCTTATGCTCATTATGTATCATTCCATATTCTACCAATCAAACTCTAATGTTTCGTTTTTCCTCCCATCCTTTTATATAGGAGGTTACTTGAGGATGATTCCAGAGGTGTTGGAGAGGCACTGAATGAAACAGTTTGCATCCATGATAAGTGCACTGGGTTAACGGTGAGAAAATCTAAGTAGCCTGTCATAGTTTTCACGTCTGGCTTATTCATCATATACAATAAATATTGCAGGTACTAGGGAAATATTATTTCAGAATAGATCCTATAGGAGAGGGTGCTAGATGGCGTAGATCGTTTGGTCAGGAGATATATTCACCACTTCTTTTAGCCTTCACAGAGGTGGTTAAAGCATTGTTGTTTTAAGTGTTTGAATATTTCAGCCCATAACTTCCTACTGATGAATATTTTTGTTCATTTCTTACATATTTTCTAGAGTGATGGTAACTGGAAAGATTCTCATGTCACAACCTTCTCGGGAATAGATTCCTCATACAACTTACCAGATAATGTTGCAATAATAACCCTCCAGGTGTATATCTTTCTCTCTCTCTTTTAAATGAAAGACATTATCTCTTAGAAGTACCCAAGGAACATAAGCCAGAACATTTGTCCAAAATATGTTTATTGAATGCAACTTAGCACTCTCGCCCTCTGATGGACATTGTAATTGATAAACCTCACCTTTTGATATTTGTCCTGAATTCAAATTCCTAAGTAAGCTGATTTCTTTAATGGACACTGATGAAGATTTACATAATTTTTGCTCACTGCTGATGTTAAAGCAATCTTTTTGAACTCTGCAGGATCTGGGTGATGGAAAAGTTCTCCTTCGGCTGGCACACTTATATGAGGTCTATTCTTTTTAGCATCTATCTACCTGTTTATATTACAATCTTACCATTTTTCTGTTCTCAACTTCTAATCAATTCAGAGTTAGGAGGGGAATAATTCTTGTCTTGCTTTGAAAAACATGCAATGATGTAATCTGGCTTTAGCAAGTTATCTTAAACTTCCAGGCCATATGATATTTATATAACTTAGAAATATGAGATAATTTCGTTCCTTTTCTGCGTTATATAAAAGAAAGAATCTTATGGAATTGAATAATTCACCGTGGTCCATTGATTTATTCTTCTCATACTCTCTTCCTCGTTTCAGCTGTTTTTAAGCCTTGTTTTTCTGCACACTGAATTCTTTTTCTTGCCAATGCAAGATTGGCGAGGACAAGCATCTTTCAGTTAAGGCAACTGTAGAACTTAAAAAAGTGTTCCCCGATAAACAGGTAAGAACAACATGACAAGTGACAACTGATAATCCTTTTATAGGTGATTATTGCATATATATTAAGCTTGTCTTTGTCTAAGGCGTTTCACATAAAATTCCATTGTATTGTATATTCAGATAACCAAAACAACTGAGGTGAGCTTATCAGCTAACCAAGAAAGATCAGAAATGGAGAGAAAGAGATTAGTCTGGCAAGTTAAAGGGTCACCTCAAGAACCCCATATGTCAAGGGGAGGACCAGTAGATCCAGAAAAGCTGCTTGTTGAACTTGCTCCCATGGAAATAAGAACCTTTGTTATCAATTTTAGGCACTACTAAAAAAATAAGTAATGCTGTTAGAAATGTCCAACATTCTGTGAGGCTTTCCAGTTCCTGTTCCTCAATATCGTGTAGGCCAACAACAGGAAAAATGTTTTCGTTTGGCTAAGGTTGTAAGGACTTTCAACTTTCATTGCCAATAAAATGTATTGTTCCTCTCCTTCTCTCTTGACATCTAAACAAATTTTATGACACAGCTTTTTCTTTTTCTTGGTGTGCATTTGGTCAAAACCAATCAAAATTCCTAAACGCCCAGTGATTATAGTTTTTTCAATGTAGAAACTGAGGGATAAATGTATCAAATTCTCAAATGTTCTACGCATGCACCAACAGCAGCATTAGCTGGAAAATGGATAAAGGTGAAGTTCAGAATTAGCTTGAAAAATAAAAAGAAATGTAGATCTAAAAGGTTGTCCTCATGTAATGTTTCATGCTATGAAGATTGTGGAGTGCTTATAATCTCTTCCTATATGCCATAAGCTACCTATTTAAAGATTTGGTAAGTAACTGCTACAAATTTAAGCCTTTGTGATTCGACTGTATTATTCGTTTGAAATTTGAGTATGAACGGTAATAATGTCCTAATTAGGAATAAACTGAAGCATCATATTAGTAAAATTTAAATTTTTGTTTTATGTTTTCCCAAAAAAAATATATATATTCTTTTTTGTGTCAATATATAATTGTTCTCACCTAAATGAACAATTAGACAAAAGTAGGAAAAAATGATGTTAGTGATTAAAACCAAAGATCTGGCTTATAATCATAGTATCATATTGCAATACAACAATATTCAACGTATTTAATTTTTGAGTGTACAAATTTTGTTACAGCACATTTAAATTTAAATTTTTTTTATACATAATTTTAAAAATTATCTTTGCGACTCTTTTGTCTCTTTTAATAAAAAAATAATTAGATAAATTGAGTTTATGATTTATCTTGGATGTGCATACAACCATTCCATTCTTTATCCCTCGTTTTAGAGGGACTTTTTTTTTTGTTCAAAGGATTTTTTTTTCTTACTTAGAAGAATTTTTGGGAAAAATATACATTTGATAATCTATCTTTATTTTTATTTTTTTTTACTGAAAGAGAATATGTATTTAATAAATAATATATATTTAATCTTAATAACATATTATGCTGTGTATATATTTAATAAATAATACTAAAAATTGATGAACTAGCGAACAAGACTCGATGGGAAAGGAGAGCCAAGTGTCCCCTAATCCCTAAGGAAATCGACGATCAGATGAAATCTAACAATTCTGATCAGATCCTTCCCAAATTCTCCATTAACGGTTTGTTTTCTCCTTCATTTCATACGCTGTTGTTTTATTTGGTTCTTCAATCTGCTATACAGTGTTATTGTTCGGTTGAGCTTTTTCTTCACTCGTTGATGTTTAGGCTAATGTAGCATATAATAGTGAAATTTCGATCAATAGTGTATTTTTATTCATTTATTTATTTGTTTTTAAAATTTCCCCTGCAGCTCTTAAAATCTGCGCAAATCCAGCATGGAGATTACACTCGCTAACGGTATGTGTCTTTATCATTGCTCATATAACGTCAAATTGCAATTTATTTTTCTTTGTGTGTATATGTGTTTTTAATCCCAATGTGGTAGACTGCTTGTTCTATTTACCAAAACATTGAAATTATATACAGCTGTATTGTACCAGTGAAAATGGGCTTTGCTTTTACTCTCCATGTTATGTGTGGATATTAGATGAGCGCGAACCTAAAGCAGTGGTAAATCTATTCTTTTGTGACTGAAAAGTCATAGGTTCGAATTCGGAAAATAGCCTCTTTACAATTATATAAGGATAAGACTACGTAGAAAGATTGCCCTCACCCCACACTTACTAGCCGGGGTTTAATGGGGAGTGTTATGTGTGGATATCAGTTAATCTTTCATATATTGTGCACTTTGGTGGCCCAATGTGAGATTCAAGTCTTCTAGCAACCATACTTTGTACTTCGGGCCATTGAATTAACATTATGAAATATTTATAGATTGGTAATGGGTGGATATTTTATCTTTAACATTGTAGGAGGTATTGCACAGCTTGTTTGAGGAGGTTATATAAATCGTTGAAGTTTACCCATGGTCGTGGCAAATATGCCAAAAGAACCATAATTGAGTCTATTGTCACCGAAGCAGGGTATGTTTTAGTTACTTTATTTTTCTTCTTTGATTTGAGATTTGGAAACTTTTCGTGTAATTAGTTTTGATTGAAATTATGTAATAGAAGGCAATAGTATGAGAAAGTTAAGGACTTAAATTTAAGGACCAATTGCATGTTAGGTCTTGGTATCTTTCTTACTTTCAAATTATTTCTGGCTTCTTTCCCCATAATTAGTTACTTCTGACCTTTTGGTTTCTCTTACTAATTACAAAATTGATGTTACTTATATCAATTAAAACTCTTATTACGCTTGGAGAAGGTTGTAGTGATATTAATCTGTCAAAAGGTCCAACCAAATGTTGGTCAGGGTTGACACTGTGCAGACCTGTAAACAAACCTACCTAGGTACATCTTGATATCAAGAGTTATGGGCCTTCAGCTATTTCACATGTAGCTAAAATTAAGAATTTTAAATTTATAAATTAGTTTTGCAGTCCTGTTGCCAGAACAAAACTGCTCTGCACTACAGGAATGATCCCACTTTTATAAGGTGAGCTTACTGATTTTGCTAATGAAATGGTTTCTACTCATGTGCCTGGAATGTTAAATAACCTTGACCTTTTAATTAGTGTAAAACTCAGGGAAGATATCAGGAAGCAGCTGATGCCTAGAATATTTTTTATTGGCATTGCCTTTTTATGTCTTAAAGTTGTGACGTATTATAAAGGCCCCTCGGTGGCATCCTTTATTTATAATTATTTCATGTATATATCTTGTAATAATTTTGATGGAGTTTTCCACCTCACGGATAAGGGGAATTTAAATTTCTCTTCCTGACATTTTACTTGAAGTGCTTGATAGAATTAGAGGACTATTTTAAATCCTTTTTATCTTAGAACTACAGAAATTGCTTATGAATAGATTCAGCTGATTTTCCCCCCCTGTATATATCTCTTATTTGTCCAGCAACATTTTTTCGGTGTTCTTGCTCTGGAGCCACTTCAGATATATTTCTTTGTATTTCTGTTGCTATTATTACATGGTTGTTATTATCTCAACCTAAAATCACCCCTACAAATTAATATGAGCATCATCATTGAGTCCCTGTTTCTATTATTTCCTTCTTCTTTTTTAAATGATTTTTAAAGATGTTTGGGAAATTGGGATTAATAAACATTTATTCAGTCTGGCATTTATTTATGCATGGTTAACATAGCGAGTTATTCGGTTTCAATTCAGTTTTCTTCGCCTGGTTCTCTATTCAGCAGAGAGAGCTTGAGTCATGCCATGGAGAAAAGGCAGCTTTCTGATGGCCCAAATGCATGTCAACGTATCTATTTGATTGATAGGCTGCGGAAAGCAGTAAAATGGGCTACTTTGTTTTCACAATTATGTGCAATTAAGGCAGATTCTAGAACATCTTTTTAAGCTGAGGTGTGTCTTAAAGCCAGCATTTCAACAAATATATTTGGTGATGACTATTTTCTGCATCTAATTGAATTGTGGTTAATTTACTGACATTTTATTTTTTTATAGGTTTTTGTGATTTTTGCATTTATTTTTCCAATCAACTAAGCATTTCAAATGTCTCTATTTTTTTATAGAATAAAATCATATATGTTTTGTTGATTTTAAGGCTTTCATTTGTTTGGCTTGATCTACTTAGGTAGTAATACCATACATGTAAGACTTACATGAACTTATGAGAATTGGAGAAGTAGAAATTAAAATACACTTTATGCTCTTGAACTTAGGGATAAGTTTCAATTTCATCCTTAGTATAAATTATCAATTTAGCATCTTTTGGTTCAATACTCATAATTTTTTTTTATCAATCCTCTTCAACAATTGACAACTTTTTGTTGACGATCATAGGATAAGTATTGTTGTCTCCTAAGAAGGCATACTTCAAAGTGGAAGGAAGTTCTTTCGGCTCAACTTTAGGTGCTCCAACAGGTAGGTCTGTGTCTTCTTTCTTCAACACTTCCATTGAAGGTTCAAAATCATCTTGGTGAGAAACTTCATCAATAGCTTGCATCTCATCCTCTAGAATTTGTTCATTAGGAACCCTTTTAGAAACAACTTCATTGAGCACATCAATCCTGAAACAGTCATTCTTGTCAACAGTGTGCTTCATGGCATCAAACACATTAATGGTGACCTTGTCATCATTTAGTCTCAACATTAGCTCCCCTCGCTCCACATCAATCAGAGCTCTGGCTGTGGCTAGAAAAGGTCTCCCCAAAATAAGAGGCATCTCAGCATCCTCCTCCATATTCAGGATCACAAAATCAGCAGGGAAGATGAACTTGTCGACTTTAACAAGAACGTCTTCTATGATTCCATCTGGCCTCTTCAAGGACCTATCAGCAAGTTGTAATGAGACCATGGTTGGCTTCAATTCCTGAATTCCCAAAGCTTTCATAACCGATAACGGCATCAAGTTTATTCTCGCTCCAAGATCGCATAATGCCCATCCATGTACTTTGGAATGGTCAAAGGAGGTGGAAATTAGTGGTTTTAATAGGTTGTCAAGTTGAAGTTGAACTTTTCTATATGCTCCTATATATATGTGGGTCTAGCATGTGAAAATAGATAATGAATGAAAAGAAAGAAAGTGTATAAAGAGTGTAAGAAAAGAAAGTGTTGAAACACTCGTGAAAGAAAAATCGAAGTGAAGAGAGATTTGTGAGAAACAAATACAGATTAGTGTTGATATTTTTTGCTCTCGATTGAAATTTTGATATAATAAAAGTTTTTCTTCTATTGTACTTGTTATATTCTGTTATTCCATTTCCAACCTTTGTCGGCTCCTTAGCAGGACTTCTACAAAATCTCTCATGCTTCTTTAGATGACTTTGCGTCAGATATTTTCTCTAATGTTGATTCATCAGCACCTTGAAAATTAAGAAAAGAGCCTTCTTGTCCTTCTTACGTGTTTCTTTAAGTGTCCTTCTTTGCGCATCTGATAAAGCTGCTTCAGTGGTTGCATCTACGGGCTCCGACTATCCTGCTTCAACAAGCTCCCAAACATCCTGTGAACCTAGGAGAGTCTTCATGTGCGTGCTCTAGTTTCCATAATTTGTCTTTATCAATTTTGAAATTTGAGATTGAATCATCTCCGTCATCTTTATTGAGGCACGATCGAACTAGTGGCTCTGATACCACTTGTTGGAAAAGGAATAACAAAATAAAACAAGTAAAATAGTAGAAGAACTTTTATTATATCAAAATTTCACTCAAGATCAAAACATTACAACATTAATCTTTATTTGTATTTCTCACAAATCTCTCTTCACTTTCTCTAGCTTCTTTAGGGGTTATTACTTCCTTGGTAGCTCAACACATTTACTCTTTACCTGCTTATGCATTTATAGCTCAAGACTTTACTACCCAGGCTGCGTTATATTCTTATCATCAATACATCGCAGGATTCATTATGACAAGGGCTTTTGCTCATGGAGCTATCTTTTTTATTAGAGATTATAATCCAGAACAGAATAAAGATAATGTATTGGCAAGAATGTTAGACCACAAAGAAGCGATCATATCCCATCTAAGTTCGGCCAGCCTGATTTTTCTCTAACAAGTGTTCCAACACTTTCTTTTCTCATACTCTTTTATACACTTTCTTTCTTTTCATTCATACATCTATTTTCACATGCTAGACCCACGTATATATAGGTGCACATGGAAAAATTCAACTTGAACTTGACAACCTATTACAACCGCTAGTTTCCACCTCCTTTGGTCATTTCAAAGTACAATTCATAAAGATAAAACTTCAACTCGTACATTACTAGATTAGGCTTCATTAAGCTTTTAGTTTGGCAGTGAAGATAAGATTTATAACTCATCATGATAAGACTACAATTCACACAATACTCTAGATACTTCTAGCTTGATGATGTATGAAGAATTTGAGGCAAAGTTGAATTGTCTTTCAAAATTATAACTCGAAGATTCCACAATCTTCATTGGTGGTGGGAAGGAAGTAGAAGAAAAATTGAGTTTGACTTCTAACCATGTTGATGCAAATTCTGGATAAGTCCTTTGTTATATTAAATATATGTAGAAAATATTGGTCTTAAGCACTTGTTAGTTTGTTGTTTTGTTTTCAATTGTTTTAGAAATGTGCACGATTTTGATTGTAGATGTGCTGAAAGCAACTCATTTATGATAGTATAGGTTGGCTAATGAAAGATTTTTGTCTGACTCTAGCTTTTACTTCTGGCGTGTGCCTCCATTGACATCCCTAGTGCCCCTTTCGTGCTTTGAAAATTTTACTTAGATAATGCGAAGACTTCAAATCCATCTACAGAGTATATTTGCTGATATGGTGCAAAACTTGTTAAATCATGGGGATGTCAGACTTTAAATTCGGTGAAACTATAGGGACCTACAGTATAATTTAACCTTTATATTTTATATTTAATTATGCACAGTTCATACTATATCCAGTAATGTTAGTATTTGAGTAATTTTCTCAGCTCAGGAGCTGGAGAAAGACATATATGGTCCCTTTGCAGACTTGTCTCCAGTGGACAAAAGACTTATTTTGGACAAAATCTTTTCCACATATCATGGAGCCAGAGGCTATATTCGGGCTGATTTGGTATGGGAAACTACTTGATTTGGTATTAAAAGCCAAAGATCTGGCTTATAATCGCAGTATCATATTGCAATACTACAACATTCAATGTATTTAATTTTTGAGCGTACAAATTTTGTTACAGCACATTTATAGAAGATAAATCGAGTTTATGATTATCTTGGATATGCATAGAACCATTCCATTCTTTATCCCTCGTTTTAGAGGGAATTTTTTTTTTCTTACTTAGAAGAATTTTTGGGGAAAAAATACATTTGATAATCTATTTTTACTTTTTTTTACTGAAAGAGAATATGTCTTTAATGCTGTGGGATACCAAAAAAAAATGTTATGCTGTGTATATATTTAATAAATAATACTCAGAATTGATGAACTATCGAACAAGACTTGATGGGAAAGGAGAGCCAAGTGTCCCCTAATCCCTAAGGAAATCGATGATCATATGAAATCTAACAATTCTGATCAGATCCTTCCCAAATTCTCCATTAACGATTTGTTTTCTCCTTCATTTCATACGCTGTTGTTTTATTAGGTTCTTCAATCTGCTATACTGTTATTGTTCGGTTGAGCTTTTTCTTCACTCGTTGATGTCTAGGCTAATGTAGCATTTAATAGTGAAATTTCGATCAATAGTGTATTTTTATTCATTTATTTATTTATTTTTAAATTTTCCCCAGTACTGCAGCTCTTAAAATCTGCGCAAATGCAGCATGGAGATTACACTCGCTATCAGTATGTGTCTTTATTCATTGCTCATATAACGTCAAATTGCAATTTATTTTTCTTTGTCTGTATATTTGTTTTTAATCCCAAAGAGTTATACAAACGAGACATATTGAATAGCAATGTGGTAGACTGCTTGTTCTATTTACCAAAATATTGAAATTATATACAGCTGTATTGTATCAGTGAAAATGGCTAGGGACATGTCGGCTTTGCTTTTACGCTCCATGTTATGTGTGGATATCAGTTAATCTTTCATCTATTGTGCACTTTGGTGGCCCAATGTGAGATTCAAGTCTTCTAGCAATTGCCTGACATGGGCAAACGATGATTTTTATGGCCTAACCTTAATGTGTACTTCAGGCCATTGAATTAACATTATGAAATATCTATAGATTGGTAATGGGTGGATATTTTATCTTTAACATTGTAGGAGGTATTGCACAGCTCGTTTGAGGGTTTATATAAATCGTTGAAGTTTACCCATGTTCGCGGCAAATATGCCAAAAGAACCATAATTGAGTCTACTGTCGCCGAAGCAAGGTATTTCTTACTTACTGTATTTTTCTTCTCTGATATGATATTTGGAAACTTTTCGTGTAATTAGTTTTGATTGAAATTATGAAATAGAAGGCAATAGTATGAGAAAGTTAAGACTTTAATTTTAAGGACCAATTGCATGTTAGGTCTTGGTATATTCCTTACTTTCAAATTATTTCTCTGGCTTCTTTCTCCATAATTAGTTACATCTGACCTTTTGGGTTCTCTTACTAATTACAAAATTGATGTTACTTATATCAATTAAAACTCTAATTAAGCTTGGAGAACGTTGTAGTGATATTAATCTGTCAAAAGGTCCAACCAAATGTTGGTCAGGGTTGACAATGTGCAGACTTGTAAGCAAACCACTTAAGATTGGATAATTGTGTGTCTAATACGAGCACACAGGGAATATATATATTAACAAGTACAAAAATTAATCTATCATATACAAAATGTGGGACTATTCTATTATATACACTATACTACTTTAACATACTATTCTAACACTCCCCCTCAAATTGGTGCGTATATATTATGAGCACCCAGCTTGTTACAAATGTATTCAACCCGAGGACCTCTAAAAGTTTTAGTGAAGACATCCGTGAGTTGATCCTTGAAGTCGACAAATGCCGTTTTGATTTCTGCTGACTGAATCTTTTCTCGAATGAAGTGACAATCGATCTCTATGTGCTTGGTTCTCTCATGAAATACATGATTAGATGATATATGAAGCGCAGCTTTATTGTCACAAATGAATGTCATGGGTTGTTTCTGTTCACAAAGATCGAGCTCTCGAATCAACTGCTTTAACCAGATTAGTTCGCAGGTGGCAGCTCCCATTGCACGAAACTCGGCCTCTGCACTGGATCGGGCGACAACAATTTGTTCTTACTCTTACAAGAAATCAAGTTTCCTCCAAAGACGATACAATAACCTGAAGTAGACCGTCTATCCGAAGGTGATCATGCCCAATCAGTATCTGAATAACCACAAATTTCTGTATGTCCCTAATCTGAATATAATAAGCTTTTCCCTGATGCTCTTTTGATGTACCGGAGGATCCTCTCAGCAGAGTCCCAATGAGAATCACAAGGGGAGTCAAGGAACTGACTAGCCACACTAACAACATAAGAGATATCTGGCCTAGTTACAGTGAGATAATTGAGATTCCAAATCAACATCCGATAACATCCAGGATCATATAATGGCTCCCCTGTTTTGACAATAATTTGATATTTAGATCCATGTGTGTATCAATAGGCTTACACTCTAACATACCAGTCTCCTCTAAGATATCTAAGGCATATTTCCTTTGACAAATGGAAATGCCTTGTCTAGATTGTGCCACCTCAATCCCTAAGAAGTAACGGAGCTTTCCAAGATCCTTTGTTTGAAATTGACTGAATAAATATTGTTTTAATTGGTCAATCTTAGCTTGATCACTTCCAGTGAGAATGATGTCATCGACATAGACTAACAGATAGATGCACTTATCAGGAGATGTGCACCTATAAAACACAGAATGATCAACCTCACTACGAATTAAGCCAAAAGCCTGAATGACAGAACTGAAACGGTTGAACGACGCTCGAGGAAACTGCTTTAGGTCATATAAGGACTTACAAAGTCTACACACCATTCCAGACTCCCCCTGAGCAACAAAGCCAGCCGGTTGCTCCATGTAAACCTCTTCCTGTAAATCACCATGAAGAAAAGCATTTTTAATGTCCAGTTGAAGGAGTGGCCAGTGACAAACATCAGCGAGGTCAAGAAACTTGCTAACAGATGCCATCTTAGCAACAGGAGAGAACATGTCATTATAGTCAAGGCCAAAAATTTGAATAAAGCCCTTGGCGACTAAGCGCGCCTTGAGATGGTCAACATGGCCATCCGGTCCAACCTTGACAATAAAGATCCACCGACAACCAACAATAAACTTCCCCGGAGGAGCAGGAACAAGATCCCTAGTGCCATTGGAATGAAGAGCAGTCATCTCATCAAGCATCGCTTGGTGCCACCCTGGATGGGAAAGTGCTTCACCTGTAGTTTTAGGAATAGAAACAGAAGAAAGACTAGAAACAAAGGTGAAATGAGAAATAGAAAGACGATCATAGCTCAAACAGGTATAAAAAGGATAAGGGTTACAAGTAGTATGTATACCTTTTCTTTAGGCAATGGGAAGAGCTTCTGGTGAAAGATCCAGAGGGGACGAGTCGACAAGAGAATGTGATGAGTCAGCTAGGGTCAAGTCCACAGGACAGTATGACGATGCTAATAGGTGAGAAAAGGGAGGTCCTCAGGGATGGAAGCAAGAGGTCTCTCCTTTGGGATTGAGTCACCTAGTCAAGAAAAGGAACAGGAAGAATCTGATCAACCCGAAAGGGTTGTGGATCAAGAAAAGTGACATCAGTGAAAATAATATAACGCTTAAGATCAGGAGAATAACAACGATAACCCTTTTGAAGACGAGAATAACCAAGAAAAATACACTTAAAGGCTTTAGATGTTAACTTGTCCTTACCAGGAGTGAGATCATGAACAAAACAGGTACAACCAAAGACATATGGGGATAAAGGATAGAGAGGAGCATCTAGAAACATGTTATGGGGAATATTATTACTAAGCACAGAGGAAGGCATGCGGTTGATAAGAGAACAAGAGGCGAGTACTGCATTTGCCCAGAAGTGAAGAGGAACTTGCATGTGAATAAGAAGAGTCCGGACAGTTTCAATGAGATGTCTATTTTTACGTTCGGCCACCCCATTTTGTTATGGAGTATGAGGACAAGTAGTTTGGTGTAAAGTACCTTGTGTGGTCAAGAAATTAGAAAAGTCAAAAGAAACATAATCTTTAGCATTATCACTACGTAAAATACGAAGAGGCAACAAATTGAGTATGAACCTTAGCAGGGAACCTTTTATAAATAGAGAATAACTCAGAACGATTTTTCATTAAATAAACCCAGGTACAACAGGAATAATCATCAATAAATGTAACAAAATACCGAAAGCCTAAAACAGTGGACTTAGGGTTTTGGCTGAAGCGAAAGTTCCCAGAACAAAGAGCTTTAATACCATGTAAATAACTAATTCAACCCAAAAGCTTAAGCTGGTATAAGAGCCTCGGTGTCACGGGTTCGATCCTCACCGCCCCCCCTCCCCAACTTTCTTTTGTGAAATTTCTTAGCATTGGTAAGTTGAGTCTGATGTATCATTCACCCTTCAAGCCCAATAAGCTCTCGTTATAGGGGTGTGTTAGAGAATAATATAAATCATTAAAAATTCTTCATCCACCAGCTTAAGCTTTTGGGTTGAATTGGTTCTTTACAAAACTTACCTAGGTGCAGCTTGATATTATGGGACTTCAGCTATTACACATGTAGCTAAAATTAAGGATTTTAAATTTATAAATTACTTCTGCAGTCCTGTTGCCAGAAAAAAACTGCACTGCACTACACTACACTACAGGAATGAACCCACTTTTATAAGGTAAGCTTGCTGATTTTGCTAATGAAATGGTTTCAACTCATGTGCCTGGAATGTTTAATAACCTTGACCTTTTAATTAGTGTAAAGCTCCGGGAAGAATAACTCACCAATTTTCCCGTGGTGTTGCTTCTGAGCCACTTCAGATATATTTCTTTGTGTTTCTGTTGCTATTATTACGTGGTCGTTATTATCTCAACCTAAAATCACCTCTACAAATTAATATGAGCATCATCATTGAGATCTTGTATCTATTATTTCCTTCTTTTTCTTAAATGATTTTTAATGGTGTTTGGGAAATTGGGATTAATAAACATTTATTCAGTCTGGCATTTATTTATGCGTGGTTAACATAGCGAGTTATTTGGTTTCAATTCAGGTTTCTTCATCTGGTTCTCTGTTCAGCAGATAGAGCTTGGAGTCATGCCATGGAGAAAAGACAGCTTCCTGATGGCACAAATGCATGTCAACGTATCTATTTGATTGGTAGGCTGCGGAAAGCAGTTTTCAAAATTATGTGCAGTTACGGCAGATTCTAGAACATCTTTTTAAGCTGAGGGATGCCTTAAGGCCAGCATTTCAACATCAACGTCAACGTGAACAACACTTTTATCCCAAAGATATCTACAACACTTTATTCCAAACTAATTGGAGTCGGTTGTACATGAATCCAAATAAAAAATATGAAAGGATGGAAAAAAGATAAACAATAAAAATAAATAAAATAGTATATATATATATATATATATATATATATATATATATATATATATGGGTCAGGATCATTTTATACCAGTGTAAGTTATACTCTCAATCTTGTCCGTTGATCCCACTTATATCTAAGGGCTCTAATTTTTTAATAATGTGAGCCATTGGATACAAGTGAATCAATGGTCAAGATCGAGTGTAAGACTTCTAACTCTTACACCGGTGTAAGAATATCCTGCCCCTATATATATATATATATATATATATATATATATATATATATATATATATATATATATATAAAAGAAGGGAGAGATGAAGAGGAAAAAGACTAAAAATAGACCATACGAAACATAGGAATAACAACGGGTTTAACCCTTCACCATGTTTATATCTTTTCTCTATTCTGTTTTAAGGCACACCGTTCGCCAATCTATATCTCACTCCATTAAATCTTGTTTTACTACCTTTCCTCAAGTAAGTTTCGATTTACCTCTATCTTTCTTTATGTTGAGCTCTTGGTAACAAACTTTTGTTCTTACTGGAGCACCCAAGAGCCTTCTTATTACGTGCTTAAACCACTTCAATCTATGTTCTCTCATCTTTCCGACCACCGGTAGTACTCTTGCCTTTCATCGAATATCTTCATTTCAACAAATATATTTGGTGATGACTGTTTTTTTGTATCTAATTGAATTGTGGTTAATTTACTGACATTTTATTTTACATTATTATTTTTGTTATAGATTTTTTGTGATTTTTACATTTTATTTTTTTAATCAACTAAGCATTTCAAATATCTCTATTTTTTTTTATAGAATAAAATCATATATGTTTTGTTGATTTTAAGGCTTTCATTTGTTTGGCTTGATCTACTTAGGTTTAATACCATACAAGTAAGATTTACGTGAACTTATGAGAATTGGAGACCTAGATACTAAAATACACTTTATCCTCTTGAACTTAGGGATAAGTTTCAGTTTCATCCTTCGTATAAATTATCAATTTAGCATCTTTTGGTTCAATACTCATAATATATTTTATCATATATTTATAAGTTGGAACATGCACTTTAAGGGTGCTGAAATTATAGTGTTTTAAGTAGGAAATTTGGAGAAGAGAGAATAGTAACTAAATAATATTTTATTAGATTGATATGATGTGTGATGAAGTGTTACAAAATAATAACACAGTAGTCCTTTTTATATTAATAATTAGGTTAAGCAAAGCTCAATAATACTAGGAAACAAATCATGAAACATAATAAATAGGAAACAACTTCTAAGATCACCTCCTCAATTAGATGACTAATTGATTCCACATATTACAAATATATTATGAAGATATGCTAAGATACTTTAAATTACTCTCAAGCATATTTATCAATTGCGATGCTATAGCGCGCAATAGCTCTATTGTAGTGGATAGTGGCACCCATATGCTATTTCCACCATGTTACACGAAAGTTTTGTGTAGCGGCAAATTGTGGGCAATAACATTGCTGTAGTGAAGGTATTCTGAAACTCCTTATTTGCCCTCGATCTAGTGTCCAAATCTTCATATTAAAGGGATATAATAGACTTTTATCCCTAATTTAAATCAGAACCATATATCTTCTCTCTCGCTCTCTTTTTCTCGACTTCGCATCTCTGTATTTCAGATGCGAATCCACCTAGTGTGCAATTCATTTCAGGCAAGCCTATCAATTTTCGAAAATTTTCCAATGACTCTGTTTATCTGCCCCTCACCTCTTTTGCGGCAGACCCATCAACTTCTGGCAGCTAATCTCTTCTGTATCGCCTGGGTTCCAGATTCTTGAGGCCAACTCTTGAAGCCACATTGCCTAGAACACCCTTTTCTTTGGATCCTTTCCATGACAATATATAGTAAGACTGAAATGAAGTTTTGTTGCTTCCTTTGTGTTCTTTGAAGCCTTGTTTGGAATGATAGTGATAATATATTTAATTATGAATGAATGTCTTTATTTTTGAACATTTATATGTGTGGTATACTAGATTCATGCATAGGTTGAGACTTGAGATATTCCAACACTCCTCCTTTAAGCTTATTAAGCTTTAAAAGTTCAATATTGAAGATGATATTATATGCTACACTGTGAGGTTGGAGAGGATCTCATTAGCCTACACTGCTTTGTCCGGCCAGAACAGGGAACCGCTCTTTACTATTTCTTTTATCTTTATTTTAGTTAATTTTAATTTTTGAGTTTGTTTTGTTTTTTTCCCCATCTCTTCCATAAATTTTTGGTGAATATAAAAAATTTCCAGCTTGAAAAATTAAAAATATTTGATAGGTTGACCGTGCTACATGAATAATTAGCAGGAAAAATTGATTAATGATGTAATTTATTATTTTTCTATGCATGAAAGAGCACTAATTAAGTAAGTTGAATAATTCACTGGAATATTAGGAGAGTAATTTAGAGTGATAGACATGAAGAGTATGGAATTAATCTTGCACACATAATCATGATGGGAGAGATTTCTATCTCCCTTAGGGTCTCATATCCTTAAACATCAATTACTAGCATAATAGAGTCGATAAGTCTTTCCATTGAAGAACAATCCAAAGAAATGGATTCTATTGTCATGCTCGACACTAAACTGTGCTCACCACTTTTAAAATCGGTACTGATATACTTTACCATTAATTATCATCTTTTACTATGTTAGACTAGACATATTGAGCTTTCCAACGACATATTATAAGCCTTGATTGAATTTGTATAACTTAAGATACGTCTATCGCAAGACAACAACTTCAAACCAGACTTTCAGAAAACAAGGCAACAACTTTAAATCAGAACCTGGAACGTTTCACATTCCAGAAAATTCTGAAATTTGGAGACAAGAAACTATACTTCTGGGGTTTTAATTTGATATATAATGACCCATTTCGTTAAGAAACAAAGGAGTTATGGCTGTTACAAAAACTAGCCATAATTTGTCAGTGTAATTCTGACTTTGTACAACGGGTCTTCTGTCAAAAACTGGGATTGAATTACAACCCAAAAAAAATTATCCTTTTCTAGGATGTGAAAGTAGACATACTAAGCTTTAATTTGATACCTTACACGTCTCATTTGGCTAAGAATTGAGCAAGTTATGGACTTTCTAAGTCGACCATACTTGATAGGATTAAAAATTGACAGCACTTGGTTAACTATGGTAGTTAGGGATACTTTCCCAATCTCCTATGACACATGATTAACTATTTTCATTCATCAATAGTTGTTCCTTATCAATCTTAATGCTTCAACATTATATCACAATTCATTACATGAATGTCGTCCATAGGTAAAATATCCAAAGCTTACAACTTTCACTTTACATGACTTAGAATACTTTCCAAGCTCCAGTATATACGTATTTGACCATTCACCATAGTTTATACATAACCTTGGCCATTTCAAGGCTTTAAACCTATAATTCATCTATGGATTTTCATCAAAGGCCCTAGGCTATCACTGTACAACATCTACGTTCATAACTATAAACTTCCATACAAAACATCATAGTGCTTGCATTTACATCATTGATCATCAAATTTGCATACATAATCTCCAATGTATCTACATTAAGGAGTCTCATTATACATCAGCGTGATATTCATGCTTATGACTTAAGAACTTTAATTTACATCTTTCTCTATTATCAAAGTGATCAATTACATATTACCATCGTGGTATATACAAAAGTACATCTCATATATATATATACAACATTATACAATATCAAAAGTTATACATTCACATCTTGAACCTCATATACATGTTCCTTGAACTTAGAGATTACAAAGTGTAATATTATAGCTTATCACAAATACATACACCATGATTACACACTTTGCTCATATAATAAACATCATAAGCTTATCCAAAAATCTGGTTATACAAATGTATATGACTATGCAACAAGTTTCCTAAAGACATATAAAACATCAATTTGGTCAAAACACCAAACATATGAGTTCCAAGCTCTACACATGCTTCTTGCCCTGTGAGGTCCCACCTCCTGCGGCTGAAGTATATGAATTATGATCCCCAAAAAGGGTGATATTCATATCTCAATAAACTCAGGGTTTCTGGAGCAATTCTTCACCCATGAGTTCACTTCCTGCATGAAAGGTTAGTATCCACATCGTATGAAAACAACATATATCTAGAGTCAAATATAGCAATGATTTAAAATATACACTCGTGTACCCAATAAACTCGATGAGGCTTACTCAAAGCTAGTGTCTGTATGGCTTCCAAGAGATATAATGTGCATTTAGTATGCTCAGGTTACAGATGCACCCTGTACATTCAATGTCCATCTCTGTTGTGCACCCAATACACTCAGGAAGTCCATATATAGTTCAAATGGCCAAAAAATATACAATAAAATCATCATATAAGCTTCGGTTGCATATCAACCCTTTCACTGATCCTACAATCTAGCCCCTAGTACTTGTCCACTGGCCTTTTCATCAATGATACAACAGTTCTATATGAATGTAGTCATACCATAGTACTAACACACCAATCAATCATCTAATATATATAACCATAACCCCCGTAGGAGCATGGTAGAACAACAATAAGGAGTAAAACTCCAAAACCAAGAGTTTACCTCTTGTAGCTTTCCTTCCAAGCTTGTTTGTAGCTCAAGGAATCCAAATTCACAATCTTCCACCTCAATATCACCTATTCAAGTGTGAGAGTTGAATCAACAACACATAATATGCATTGAATATCAATTTAGTAGTTAAAACACTACCAAATACATACTTTCACACACTTACCCTAAGCTTGAAACTTTCAAGATTCTAGGTCTTAGTCATTTGAATGATTCAACCCTTGATCTTTCTTTAACAACTCACTTGCTTCAATACTATATCACCAAACAAACAATAACAACCATCAAAATTCTCTTACATTACTTAAA